TAGTCCGTCGGGACCTTGCATTGATCCGCTAGAGCTACCAACTCCGCATCCAGAGGTGGAGGCGGCACTTCAGCCTCTCCTTCTGTCATCGCCCTAGCCCGATGGTAACCAAACGCCCCAGCTACACACTTGGATCAAAACTGGTGCCGGAGCCGGCATGCCACAGACTGATAATGGGAAGCAAACTCAACCCGAAATCAGCGGCAGTGACCTGTCCTGATGTTTCTTGATGCGCAGCCAAAAACCCCAAACTGACCAAGGCAGGACCGCAGTTACTCCTGCGCACAGTACAATAGCTCCCAATCTGCCTCACGCTGTGGAATCATTTGCCGCGAGGACAAATTGTGCCCTCGGAGCCAGAGTCAGGCTCTGGTTCAGCCTCAGCAGGGCCCGGGTCCATCTACTCTCCAGCAGGAGAGCGTGCACTGAGCCCTAAGGACTGAAAAGAAAAAGTTGTGTCGTGTTTGTCTCAGTGCAAACAACTGTTGTTGCATTGACATGAACACACGCGTATCATGTAATGCCAAGAAGAAAAACCGCAACAGCTCAATCACGAGCCGGCCACGCTGCGGCATCGACAGGATGATTCGCAAAAAGGCTCCAATCAAAAAAGGACATGCCGCATGCAAAAGGAGGGAATACAAAATCGCAAACGAGCCCGCAGGCAAAAGCAAAATGGTTTAAGATTTAAACAGGATCGAGTAAACACGATAACCGAACGCTATAGAGTGGGGTTACGTGGGCGCGCAGGACTTTGCTGATGTTGGTCGCCCACATGAGGAGACCAATGCAGGCTTCAAGGTCTTTCCTAGGGACTTTCTTCTTGGCCAAGAGGCCCCAGCTGGTCACAGAGTTTGGCTCGCTTGGCCGCACATAACTCCACAGTTTCCAAGCGAAAGTTAAAGTGCCAGCCGCTCCAGACAAGGCTGTCTCCTACCGTGGCCTTCTCCCAACTGATAGGGGCTGCAAGGCTGGAGAGAATGGCTATGAGCAGGAACAACGGTTCGGGTGCGTGAGCTCGGATCACGGATCAAGGCTGCGAGGAGATCTCAACATACAGCCGGGCTTTGTTGGGTGCGAAGGCAAGGGCGTGATGGGCTATCCTGGTGATAAGGCCACCAGCGCGTTGCCACCAATAGGCTGAGAACTTGGCTCCGAAGTGGCAGACGACATACCTATAAAGGATCTTCTCAAACATGAACAGCAGAAGGCCTTGCTCGGAGCTATGGACTTTGACACGTTTATGGGCTGCCTTGAAATCTATGCTGGCTGCGAGGAACGCACTCCTAGGGTCTGTGGGCAAGAATGTGGCTCGGACGTCGTTGACAGTTGGCATGGCTACGGCTTCGGGTATGCGGCACATGGGGTTAACTGACATACCGTGCTGTCGAGGACTAGGCGTGGGTCCCTGTTCTCGGCTTTGACAAGGCTCAGTTTGCCCACGCAATGCCCTTGGGCCAGAGGCGTTTGGCTTTCTCCAGCCCTCCTGGAACTGGCTTGATCCAGCCGGCGGCTTCTTCATCCGCAAGAAGGCGCTTCCAGTTCCCCTCGCAGACCTCGAGGCCGGAGGAGCTGAGGGGCTGGAGTTTGGCTAAGGGCCAGAGCCCCGACGGCTGAATTTCATCAAACACTCCTGTGTGGACCCCGACCCGCAGATGGGCTGGCAGGTCTTTGTCGGGGTCGTCCAGGAGGTCCGCGAAGGCCTGTAGAAGATTAAGGCGGAAAGGCTGTCCTTCTGCTGCTTGAGTCATGAGATCGTAGTCCCAATCCATGACTTCACAGGCTATGCGGATAAGCTGGAGCTGGTCTTCCGCCGGGAGAGGGTGGTGGTCCGGCTTGCTCTGTGCAAGATGTGCGAAAATTTTAGGCAAGTCTCGCTGGGAGGCCCACTGTAGCCAGGCTTGCATAACGGCTTGCATATCGCGGGGGCTAGGCTTAGGGCAACTCCAGTCGGCTGAACTCGCGTTACCGGCCCCGTCACAGACGGGTGTGCGGTTGGCCTGAAGCTCGGCATGCTGGTAGAGCGGACGCTAGGCTAGGAGGCTGTGATGGCCTAGCTGAGAGAGGCATGGCGGCTAGCATAACTTCTAGCTCCAATGCTGCCAACTCCGTATCAACGCATGGCCAAGTTGGTAGCGGGGAGGTGCTGAGGATGATTCTGTCGGAAGCTGGCTCGGGACAGAGGAAGAGTCCCCCGTCGTGCACGGCCTCGCAGAAGGCTGCCGTCTGGAACAAGAAATGATCCGAATCAAGGAGGAGCAAGGCTGCAATCCCCGATGAGCAGATGGCTTGCAAGAATCCACATGCTTCTTCCAGGTGGGGGGCCAGCGCTCCTAGATCGGCGACGAGGCCTTGCACCGATCGCGACCACATGGCCTGCAACAGGTGCGAGGAGCTGTGTCTGCGGTCTTCCTGTGATAGGTTTATGGTGCTTGGCCTCGTTGGCGTGCTTGAGACAGGAAGCTCCTAAAGGGGTCGAAGGGCAAACCACCAGGCTCCTAAGGGCAGGCGTAGGGCTGGGCTTTGGGGCTTTGCGTCGGCCGAGGGCGGTCCAGACGCGTCGACCGTGGGGACCTCCTCCCGGGTTGCTCCGAGGGCCCTGCTCGAAGGTCTGTGCGCCGGCGTGTCGGCTGGCGGTGCTTCCACCTGAGGTGCGACAGTGTCGTCATGTGATGGGGAGGCAGGCTGTGAGCGTTTGCTCTGTGTAGGCAGTGGTGGAAGGCTCTGCTGGGACCCTAGTCAGGAGGGCTTCTTGTCATGGTCCACGGCGCAGTGTTCCTTGCCGCACCCCCTGACCGCGCACAAGTGGGCAAACTTAGCTTGCAAAGGGCTTTACCCTTGGCTTTAAGGACCCAGTTGGCTGGCCAGGCTTCGGACTTGGAAGGGCTGTCGGACTGCTTGAAGCCTTTCCCACGCCCTTTGCCCTTGGCTGCCTTCTCGGATGTTTGGGCGTGAAGGCGAGTGCGCTTGGCGAGCGGCGGGGGTGGGTTGCCCCCGTGGTTGGGACCCGGGGGGGTGGCCGGTGGCCGGGGTCGCGGCTGCAAGGCTTCATCCAGGCTCCACCCTGACGCGACAGGCTGGAGATGGTACTCCAAATTTTTCGGTCCGTCGCAAGAAGCTCCTGAGTGGCATCGGCTAGGTCGGGAAGGGCTAAGGTGGGCTGCTCCGCACAAGGCCCAGGTATTCCTGAAGAGTCTGGATCCTCTGCAGCCATGATACCGAAAGGCGAAGGTGCGACACGGTCATTTCAGGCGTGCCGTCATATATGGCTGATGCGAGCAGTTGGGCTTCCGTGCGCATAGGCTTGGAGGACTTGGCCTCCATAATCTCGGAGTATTGCTTGGAGCTAAGGCGTAGCTGCCAGGGTATCCATTTCAGCTTCTCCCCCGGCTGCAGGCTGTGCTGGACAAGGCTTAAAAGGCGTATGGATGGCATGGTGTCATCGTCGAGGAGCTCGCCAGGATAATTGGCCTTGAAGGTGGAGACCAGATCTTGTACCACCTCAGAGCTGAGTTTCGGGGGGAGGTGCTGAGGCAGAAGGGGCAAGGGCAAGGCGGGGCAGGCGAAGGCAGAGGCGTCCTGAGATTGGTGTGCAACTCTCAATGCCTTCCTGGCGCGGGCTGCCTGCACGGAATGTAAGGCGTCGGAGACCCCCATATCGGTCTGGGTATGCGAAGGCAAGGTCCTCGACCGCCTCGAGCCCTTTAAGGGCGAGACCATTGCAAACTACTTCATGCACCCTGTGGGTTTGCAGAAAGGCTGCTAGCTCTGATGGCTCAGAGAGCGCCATGTCTGCCCCGGAAAAAAGGAGGGTGTAGGAACCACGAAGGGTCAACCCCAGAAGCTCAGATGTAAAGTCAGGCATACCCAGTGCTTCTAGTTAACGACGTGGCAAAGCTGAGAGGCCGACATGGCATTCCGGAGAATGTGACCAAGCGAAACTTCGCACCTTTGATGCCGCCTGAACCGTAAATCTCCAACCTCCGACTTTTTCAATTCTCAACTCTTGGCGCCTTTGACCCTTCAACTCCAACCAAACCGTACAAAGCGAAAAATTTGTGAACTGAGACAATGAAATGGAAGCAGAAACATGAGTCCTCCATTGGAAGAGCTTTCAAACGATTTTATGACGCCAATTCTACACCAAATGTCTGAGAGTGAAAAGCGAAGAAAAATTAATACCTTCTTCGACACGAAGGAGACGCCACACGAAATCGATTTAGAAAGTTGAAAGCGAAGCAGGCAGAAACATGAAAATTCAGAGCCCAGATTGAAGCCAGGTTCCCAGATTCGACAAACTTCGAACGTCTGCCCAGATTCCAAACCCAGATTCAGTCCGGACTCTCCACATTGAAACCAGAAGGAATCCAGATTCAACCCGCAGTTCAATCCAGATTCCAAGTCAGGCTCCAACCAGGCTGAACCCAGAAAGAGGAGAAGGAAGTGGACTTCCTGTTCCAGAATGCACAAAACTGATCCAGTTTGGTGCATGTGGGCTACCGCCTTTCGCTCGAAAGGGTCAAGCTGGAGGCGGCTGCATTTCTGTTGAAGAGATGTAGTCTACTTTTCAGTATAATCAGTTACCCCTCGAAACGCCGCACCTGCCAAAACGGCTTTGTTTTTAAACATGGAAGCGAAGCTGCTGAGAAGCTGTGAAGCCCGTCATCTCAAGCAGCCCAAGACAGGTGGATCTCCATCATCATCAATCACTTTCTAGCAGCGTGATTTCACCAGAAATATCCTGTCTGTCGAAGCATCGCTATCCAACAAAGCATGGGTTGCAGCTCACGCCTGGCGTACTAGGCGTTTGGCACAAGCACAGCGACGGGTCCTGGACCCTCCCCGCGCTCAAAGAGCGCAAAGTGCTCGAACTTCGACTTGTTTTGGTCTAGGACCACACAGACCTCTCCCCCGCCCTTAGGCATCGCAGACTCACTTTTCATTGTCCAGATTCGTGTCCATGCTGGTTCCCTAACTTTAAGGTTTTCCAGTCGACAGCCATGGCCGTCGCAGCCATGGCAAAGAAGGAAGAAGAGAACACCCAGGAGCAGCCACCTGCCTCTCCGACAGCGCCGACAGCAATGGAGCAGACAGAGGCGCCAGGAATGCCGGCACCAACGGCACCAGTCTTGCCCCACCGGCGGCTGACGCAGTCGATCAGGATGAGATGGCGCAATTTCGGGAATGGCAACGGCAGAGAGCAGAGGCGAAAGCAAAGTCATCGCCGGCCTCGCCACCAAAGAAGCAGAGGACAGATGATGAAGAAGACATGGCAGAGTTTGAAGTGAAGCTTGTGGACCTTGACATCAATTTCGCGGACCTCGACCCAGAACTGCAGAATAAGCTTCGGAGCAGCAAGAGCTCAAGAAGAGATTTTCTGGCAATTCACACCACGGACAGACTTTACAATCCTACAGATGGCACCTGGACGGAGCAACCCACGACCAAGAAGAGAGACTTTGGAAGCATTACAGAACGAACCATGCCAAACTTGACGGCAGAGGACAACGTGCAGCAGGCCATGCTGCAATGCCAGAAGAGCATTCTTCCCTCCCTGGATAAGCTACAGATGTGCTGCGACCAATTTTACAAGATGGCACAACATGAGTTTGCGATGACTCAGTATACCCTGGACAGGCACTCCAGCCAACTACAGGTGTTGGAGCGTGCAAAGGCCAACAAAACTATACTTTTGCTGGATTTACCGCCAATCTTCAACAAGAAGACTTTGGATGCCAATGTTGGGTACTACGGTACTACCTACAAGCTGGGACCAGGTGGCTGCAATGCACATTATTCCCGGAACTCGATTCCGCAATCGAATCATAATCAATGCAGCAATCGTATATCCATCGCTGTATTCCCCAATACACTTATGTGGGAAGACGAATATAAAACAGCATATGAAATTGGAGGCACAACGTCAGGCTTTTCGCACATGCGATCTGGGATTCGAGCATTCGTGAAACACATCCTGCATGACACAAGCAACATAGCATAAACCGCCCCATTGGGCAGTGACCATTGTCACGAAGCGAGGACCATATCCCGGGTTGGGCGGGCGGGTGTAAAATTTGCCCATTCGAGGAGGCGCTCCCTCCCACCCACCCTTGATCAAGAATTGCAAGTCACAACATTCGTTATGCCAAGAGCATAAAAGACATCATGCAAAGGAACTTGCAAAAGAATGGTTCAAACAAGTGGTTGAAAAACAGGATTGCGAAATCAAGTTTTTGGCCAATGCCAAAAAGCATCGTCCGGGTATAAAACATTAAGAACTTCGCTCCGCTCCGTTCTAAATCTGCTTATTCCCGGAACTCGATTCCGCAATCGAATCATAATCAATGCAATCGTATATCCATCGCTGTATTCCCCAATACACTTATGTGGGAAGACGAATATAAAACAGCATATGAAATTGGAGGCACAACGTCAGGCTTTTTGCACATGCGATCTGGGATTCGAGCATTCGTGAAACACATCCTGCATGACACAAGCAACATAGCATAAACCGCCCCATTGGGCAGTGACCATTGTCACGAAGCGAGGACCATATCCCCAAGTCAAGACGAGCGCAGTAATTCGCCCGTGGCAAAACAAGCAGGATGGTCCCGGATCGCATGTTCGCACATAGGAAAGAGCCAGCAGCCCCTCGACGGGGGATCAGCGGGATTGGACTGAGAAGGCACACGAGCATACCACCCAATGCAAGGCCTGGCAACGGCCTTTTCAAGATGTATAAGCAGAGTCCTCCACAGCTCGTCCCTAGATGTGCAATTGATGGTAGCGGCGAGCACTCCCACGTGATCGATGAAGTAAAGCACCCTTCGATCGTCGAGGAGTCGACCCCAGACGAATCTCGCGAGCACTAAAGCATACAACTCAACAAGCCCTATCAGGTGCTTCTTGCCGCTCCCGGTCCAAAGGTCCCCGAAGTATCGGACCTTTACAGCCCCATTATGTTTCCAAACACAAACCGTGCTCAAAGTTTCTCGCGCAGATATAAAATTACTTGCAATCGTATTTATGGCAAGCGTGATAATAATCACAATCGCAATCTGTGAGATCCAGAAGTCGCTCTTCTTTTTTCTTCACACAAAAGCTTGGTTGCGAGAAGGGGAAACCTTCGTCGAGCCTCCCGGCCGCCTCAAACGGCCGGGCTAGGCGCAAAGACGGCTCCACGGTGCCCAAAGCACCATGCGAGCGCAACCCCACGACCTTCAAGAGGTCCAAAAGGGGCGGGAGGGCGGGCAAAAACTTCCACCAGCGACGAGCCAGTGCTTCAGCGGCTCACAAATCAGAGGCAACTGCAAGCACGACTCTTACACATGTACTGTAAAATAAACGACATGTGAGAAAAGCGTAAAATAGGAAAAGAGAAACTTTCGCAAGCACTATTTCAAAACCAAAAGGTTCTTGAAATTTTGTGTTTGGAAAAATAAGGTGATTGTCACCTCCGGTGAAATAGCACTTATGTTTCCAAACACAAACCGTGCTCAAAGTTTCTCGCGCAGATATAAAATTACTTGCAATCGTATTTATGGCAAGCGTGATAATAATCACAATCGCAATCTGTGAGATCCAGAAGTCGCTCTTCTTTTTTCTTCACACAAAAGCTTGGTTGCGAGAAGGGGAAACCTTCGTCGAGCCTCCCGGCCGCCTCACCCCGCTTCCAAAACGAGGCTCGCGACCCAGCTTTCGTCAAGCAGAACTCTCGCAGCACCGAGCTTGTGAAGTCGTTCAAAGTAAAAGCGACTTGGATCATCAGCGATGTTGGAATGCGAAGGAACACGAGCGTACCAAGCGTGTTGGCCTAGCTCACATTCAAGTGCACTAGCTTTGGAAATGATAAGGTCCGCGATGGCAGTGCCACCCGCCCCCTTGATCATCCCAATTCGTGCAGGCTCGTTGTCAAGATAATAAACTGTTTGCTGGTGAGAGGAAAGTTTTCCCCAAACCTGCATGGCGATAAGCACTGGCAGCAGCTCAAGCTCATAGATGGGATGAGTGGACGACGCAAGCAAATGATGCATCGCCTCACGACTCACTTCTCCCGCGAAATAAGAAACGCACCTGCCGTGAGGAGAGATCAGAACCCCTCCAAAAGAGCCTCGACCTTGCTCGAAAGCGCCGTCAGTGAAGACATAAGTGGTCTGCAGTGCCTTCGCCGATATAGTCACTGGCAGGGCATGACAGATTCGAGTTTTAATCATACCCAGAGCCCACTTGACATCAGCAGATAACTTCACAGAGCCACTCGAGCCTTGAGCGTGGCGGCCCACATGCTTGACAGCCACTTGAGCGACTCTACCGAAAGTGAATCCTTCAAAGAAGACGAGTCGTCCCCTCAGCTTCTCTGCTTCCTTCGAGGTCATGCTGCCATCAGCGAGAATGGAATCGATGCAAGCGGTCAGCTCCTCTTTCCGAGCGTCGGTGTGTCCGATAACAATCGAGCCAGACTGAGCTTGCTGCAGATCCACCTGAACTCCAAGTGCCGCGAAACAGCTCGCAAACTGGGGAGCTTTCTTGCCCTCGGTAGCATAGTCAAGCCCGATGAGCCTGAACATGCGGTCTACGCACGAGCTCGTATTCTCAAGAAGCGGCTCACTGGTGACAGTCGGAAAGTCATCATAGTAAGCAGACCAGCATAGCTCCAGCCCCACCAGGCCGAGAGTCCAGATAGCCATTGACAGCCTGAGGAAGCCAGCAACCGAACCCACTGCACCGAATGGAAGACTGTTGGCACCAAGGAGAATGGGCTGTTCCGCCCCAGGCTTGTTGACGACAATCCTCAAGAGTTCCCGAGCTACAGAGCTTATGCCGAACTGACGATAGGCCGCCTGAAGATCGTATGTGCGGCCTAGCCAGCCACAGGTGGCCTTGCCGCCGCAAAGCTCCAGAGCACGCCGCAACATAGATGCAAGAATATCTATAGAATGGACTCGCATCTTCTCCGGAAGACCAACAGTGCAGTTAAGACCCCCAACACTGCAGTCGTCGATCGTGCGGAGCTTGAGTTTCTGAAGAAGGCCGAACCGGTGCGCAATGATCTTCCCTTCCCAGCAGCCAGACTCATCGATCCAGAACCATCCCCTAGCAATCTCCTCCTCTGTCTCAAGCCAAGTCTTTTGCTCGACGTCCTGATCCTGCCTCTTGGAGAGGCGCCTTTTGACCAGAGCGTGAAAGCCCCTGTTCATAGCGACGACAGTATCAACAGACATTGTGGGCGCTCTCGGGTTGCTTGCGAAAACCTGTGACTCAGCCATCCACCCAGTGAGAGGCAGGCCCTGCTCAACCTCGTCGAGAATCTTGACATCGGGGTAGCCTATCTCGCGTAGGAGCTCTTTCCACAAGAGAATGCGCTTGCCCTTGAGCAGCGTCTGTATGTGGTGTGGCCTTCGGTTGTTCGCCTCTGCTTCGAGAGGAGCCAGTACACTAGCCCGTTTCTCCCAGCGTTCGAGAGTGCTTAGCCGCCGCTGGATGACTAATTCAGGAGGGTCGCAGAAGTTGGCCCTGATCGCCCGGTCCACAGCTGGGCACACGTGCATGCCCATGTCCATTGGGTGCCCTGCTTCCACTGCTTTTCGTATGAACTCCTCGGGATCGCTCGGAACTCCAACAAAGACAGTTTCGGCAGAAGAACAGTTCACTCCAGCAGCATCGTGTATATGATCCCCAGCAGCGCCGACGTCAAGCACAAAGCCAAGCTCGGTGCATCTCCTCTGATCTGCGCAACTCATAGATGTCGCGCCCTGAACATGAAAAGCCACAAGAAGAATCCGATCGCCCGTCCAGTCGTCAGTAGAATGCACCAGCGACGCATCAAGCTTGGCCGGGTGCTGCGACACTTCAAGCACAAGCTCCTGCTCCTGTGGATCCGCCGGGCGAACTCTGACGGCCCCTGCTTTAAAGTCAGAGCAAGGGATCAGCAGGTTGGGTACACCGGGAGTGTTATTGACATCGCGGTGGGGGCAGGTCTTAAGGTTCCTAAACAACCCAACCGAAGAAAAGGAACTCCTAGGGAAAACCGCCTTAACAACAGCCGCAAGCAAAGCAGTGGTCCTCGGATATGCCACAGTGTTGGACCTGAGGCCGGCTTCGCCGGAGAAGTGAAAGGCCCCTGAGGTCCATGTCTTAGTGGAATCGAGGCAATCGCCTCTGCTCTTTGCAAATTTTCGATCAGTGGGCAATACGTCAAGCAGCATGCTCAGCTCAGACTTCGTGATAAAGCCTTTCTGGAAACACCGCTCGCTCAGGCACTCAGCTTTACAACCTTTGTGAAGAGGTGCATTGTCAGCAAATAGGCTACGGCCGAAACAGGCAAGCGAGACATCCTGAATGTCAAAAGAGCCCTGCCTAAGCTGGGATGTGAGATCCACTGTATCGAGATAGCCGCCAACATGGGAGACTTCGCAGGCATTTGTTCCCCCATTCAGAAAACGCGAAGTGACCTTGGAACCCTTGGGAAGGCGTCGCATGAAGCGCAGTAAGGCACCTGTCTCAGGATACGTCAGCACTTTGAGGTAGCGACCGAACTCGGGCACAAGCGGCTTAAGAACCTTCCCGCGAGGAAGAGCGCCGAGCACAAGGCGAGATGCCTGGGTACATGGATCCTGAAGCTGAGAGCGTAAGCTAACATGTGACCGAGCTCCTTGCGCAGAGGCAAACAGCAACAAGCATGAGACAGCCCTCTCAAGAAAGAGAGGAGGCAGCGAGACATCCTGGCGACTCTTGCGACGCAACTCTCCATCAGCTACCTTAGGGAGCCAGGCATCATGAAAATGACATCCATCGCACTCAAGCTGCAAGGATTGCATAATGTCATGAGACGAAAGAACAACGGTTCTTTTAGGAAGAGAGCCGCCATGCATACATGCGTCGAAGCAAAAACGGAAAGCAAGGCAATCAGTGGCTTGCTTGATCACAGGTGCACTCCAAAGATGACTGTGGGCAGGGTTGCACACGAAGCATGGAATCCCATGCTCAGAGGCCCAGCGAGCAAGCCTAACAGTAGACTCGATGGCCTGGTTGGCCAATTCAGTGCGACGTTTGAGGCCAAACGCCAAACCCGGAAGCCCCATCGGATGACTGGCAGACCTAAGCTGTTTCGGCCCACCTGAGTGCAGCGCTTTGAGACGACGATCCCGAGCGCGAGAAGTGGTGCTGGCATCCGGCACAATCCACAAGCAGAGTATTCGTTCTCGCACAGAATGCAAAAGTCGAAGGAAGTCTACGATCTGTGCTTCATCAGCAAGGTCAAGAGGGCAAGAACGCACACCTGAGGCCTTGCTAGCACGCGAGCCAACAGGCAAAATGCCTAAAGAATGTTTGCGAGCGACACCACAAAGCTGTGCTCCATGTTCTGAAATTTCAACAACGAGAAGATCCGTTAAGCAAAATTGTTCAAAAAGACGCAAATTCGAGGCCTTCCGACATGGGGCCTCCCATGCAGCTCCAACTTCAGAGGCATGAACGACTTCGGGCTCTAGTCATTCCTTCGAACGACAAGAAGTCAAGCCGTGGTTAGCACGAAAGCATTTGCAACACACATGCAAGCCTTTGTTACATCCGGGGAGCCCTGGAAGTTGAAAGCCCAGCAAATCGGCTTGCCAGACGAATGCTTGCAAGAAAAATTCTTAAGCGAAGCGGGCTTGCTAGCTTTCTTAGGCTGCGCTTTGGCCTTCTTCTTGGGGCGAACAACAGGCTTCGAAGGGGCTGCACCACCCAGCTCAACCTGCAATGCACCTGTCGAAGGACGAGACATGTCAGCCTTCGAACTGGATCCAGAACCTCGCAGCGGCAGCAAAAACTGAGCGATCCGAGGATGTGTAGTGAGGCGTTCGAAGACCGCATCACATGGTGAGACACCCAAGCTATTGACCTTATAAGGCCCAGGGAAGTCCCGGGCCAATAAGGTCCACAGCTCCCGATCGGCTCGTACAACCTGAGCAGCGCCAATGGCTGAATAGCCCGGGGGAGGCGCCTCACACATAGCCTCCATGAGTGTTGTGACCCATTTCTGGTGAATGTCCCATGACAACAACCTTCTTTGTGGTGTGGTGGTTTTCAAGCTCCTATAAATCTTCTTCGTTCTCACCGGGGGAAAATCTTATAGCCCCATTCGTACTATAACATAAATGCCAATATGTCTCAACAAATATGTTGACCTCTTAGAGGTCTATAAATTATGAAATCTTCCAATCACAATATACATATTTGGAAAGGGATCGGTCCTTTCTTCTTTCAAGCGATCTGGGGTCTCACGAGGCTGCGCTGCTGCACCAAAAAGGTTTGAAGTCTCCCGGCCACTCTCCCTGTGGCCTTCAAGCGAGCCCCAAACCCGGGTGGGCTGGGAGGGCAAGAAAATTTTTCTCTCGCCCTTGAGTAGCAGCGCAGCCATAGAACAATTCTCAACAAGTCCATGCTTCGCACATGAAACATTTTCTTCAATACTAAACAAATTCTTCAAAGAGAGCATGTATAAAATCATGCATCATGAGCTCTAGAAAACCCGCACTCTCCCCGTGCTGACCACCCCCCAAAAGAAAGACTAGTCGGCACGCCGAAGACGCCCTTCTTTGTGGTGTGGTGGTTTTCAAGCTCCTATAAATCTTCTTCGTTCTCACCGGGGGAAAATCTTATAGCCCCATTCGTACTATAACATAGATGCCAATATGTCTCAACAAATATGTTGACCTCTTAGAGGTCTATAAATTATGAAATCTTCCAATCACAATATACATATTTGGAAAGGGATCGGTCCTTTCTTCTTTCAAGCGATCTGGGGTCTCACGAGGCTGCGCTGCTGCACCAAAAAGGTTTGAAGTCTCCCGGCCACTCTCCCTGTGGCCTTCAAGCGAGCCCCAAACCCCAGATCATCTCACGCTCGGTTGAAGGCCTGGATCCTTCCAACAAGCTCTTCAAGTCTCGAGAAGGGTTGCACACAAGATGCTCCGACCGTCACCAAAGACTCCTCTCCTTGGTCTCTCGACGGCGCATCCCCCGGATTGGAGTAGGATGGAACTCTGCAAACCCACCACATGGATGGCCATTCTCTGTCGAGCTCAGAGAACACTCGGGCTAAAGTGTGCATGTCCCAACTGCGGCTGGCGCCCTTGATCATGACACCTCTGGTTGCATCGTTGTCCACCCACCACACTATGCGGCGAGACGACACAAGAGCATTCAGCTGCAGCAGGGAAGCTAGCACAGCAAACATCTCGATCTCGCAGATGAGTTGCTCTCCTACCTCTGCTTTCCAAGATTCAAGCAACTGCAACGGGACCTTTCCTGTGAAGACCCAGCCTGTTCCACTGAAGCAATCATGGGCGGCTAGACCAATGCCTCCAACATCAGCTTCCCACGATCCGTCGGTCCAAAGATGGATGATGTCAGTTATCATCGCACAGCTCAAGACTCTAGGGTTCTCGTGCTTCAGCAAAGAAACGGTGTGTCTACAAAAGTCACTAAGGTCCCTAGGACTAAAGTGCAGACCCCCAACAATCCTCGCAAGAATGTGCGACGCATGCTTCAGCGATCGGCCTGCGTAAAAGCCCGAGGCGTACTGCAACAAGCCTTGGATGACCTGAGCCTCGTGTCGTCGGATTTCTCCTTTCAAGCTGATTTCCTGAAGACGGTCAACAATCCTCTCTATCCTGCCCTGTTTGTTGGCTAAGACTACAGTACCCTTAGCAAGATCACCTAAACCCAAATGCATACCAAGGACGTCGAAGTCTGATGCAAAGGGTCGTCCTTTCGCACCCGTCTTGGCGTGACGCCAACCTAGGGCGTCCAAGAACGCACTCGCCGTGGTGTCGGCGTTGTCTGCACTTCCTGCCGGCGACATCAAAGGATAATCGTCAAAGAATACAGCAGCTGGTATACATAGAAGTTTGTTCATGAGAAACCACAAGGCTCTAGAAACCCTATTGAAGGCATAAACCGCTGCAGTACTGCCGAACATCAGTGAGTTCGAAACATATAGGGCATCCTTTCCATCCGATTGCCTAACGGCAATCACTGAAAGAGGTCGGTGACTCGGATGGATAGCAAGTTGTTTGTACGCTTTACTGAGGTCAAGGGTTTTGCCCTTCCACTCCGATGCATCCTTGTGCGCTCGGCCTTCGCTCACTTCCCTCGCTACGTGGAGGGCCATGGCTGAGATGTAGTCCGAATCTTGTAACCGCAGGTGAATGCTGGAGCTGTAGCCCGCGTTTAATTGGGATTCCAAGCAGTTGTCTATGGGTCTGGGTTTTAGCTCTGCCCCCTGGAGCAAAACAAACCTTCTGATGACTGTCCAATCGTTGGTTCCCAGCAATTCCGTAATCTGGCTCTGATCATAGTAGGGGCCCTCCAAAAAGCCCATGGCCACTTCCTCATCCGTGGCCTCCTTCAAGATCCGTGCCTCCTCCGGGTCTACCCTTTCGAACTTACTCAACAAGGACTTTCGTCTGGTGGCCGCTGAGGCCATGAGCTCCGTCTCTGTCAAGAAAGCGGGGACAAACTTACGATCAAAGCATTCTGGGCATTGGGAAGTCCCGACCAACCTTACCCCTTCCTTTAAGAAACCGATGACTTCAAGATCGTCGTAGCCCTCGGACTTGAGTAAAGATTCCAACGCCAAGATGGATTTGCCGCTCATAACCTTAGCCACTGCCGGGTGCATGGCCTTGTGAAGCTCCGCCTCAGCATCACTGCATCTCTTCACCTCCTGCTTCACTCGCGCCACCGCCAAGTTTCGCTTCAAGACTATGAGCCTCGGGTCTTTAGTCAAGTTTTCTTTCAAGGCAAACAACGTGGCTTTCTCAAGTGGGTTTGAAGAATCTACTGGATGAATGACCTTCTTAGCCTCCTCTACAAACTGTTCAGGAGTCCTGTATACCCCAACCCTAACCCGGTCACCAACCCTCTCAGCTGGATCCCGTGAACTAATCGGGGTCCAGCGGCGGATGACGCTTGTTTTGTCGGCCCAACATGGCCAACGAGAGGTCCTTAGGGGATGGGCGACGACACAGGTTGAGGCCTAGCGACAAAGCCTTGCGCTCCACACAAGAAGCGAAGCGAGAGGCAAACAATGCTGGGTAGGCCGCCTCATCCTTTGTGGCATACCGAATGGAGCCAAACTCAACAATTTGTCCCCAAGGTTTGTGCATGTGCTTTCCATCGCAAAGGGCACGCAACGGCTCGAAGCAGCCAGGCGTTGCAAGCAACTTTGTGCGTTTGGGGCGAAAGCCCCCATGGCAACACAAGTCAAAGATGATTGACTGCAGTCTGGGAAGGATACGGTGAGCAACCCCTTGCGGCTCAAAGGCTTGCAACACCTCCCATAGGAAACTATTTGCGGGATTCTCAAGACTGACCACTATGTCGTGCTCCAGGCAATATCGCAAAATGCGATATGTGAAGGCATACAAACGGTTTGCCAACTTTACACGAGTGGCCTCAACTGACCCAGGCTTTAAGGAGGGCAGGCCCAGCGGGAACTCACTACTCCTAAGAGGTTGGGGTCCCGGCTGTCCATTGTACAAAGGTCTGCCTCTGGCCTTGCTGCTGGTCCCGCATGGGGCGCCCAAATGTATTGCGAACGGGCGCTGTGTCTCAAGAAAGTCCCAGAACAAAGCTTGCCCTGAGTCTGTTGCCAAATCAAGCTGCGAGATGGGCACATGAGAATCGCAATGATGTTGGTCGAAACTGTGGACAACGAATCCGCACTGCATCAGGGCCCGGGACAACAAGCCTTTGCCTGCGAAAACCTCAAACACCATGGGTGGCCGTTCTCCCAGCTGCGCCGTTTGCACAGGCAACGGCACCTCAGGAGGTAGCACGAAGTTCAATTGGTGCGCTGCCTCCACATCCTGCGGTTCTAATTTTTCAAGTTGCTGCACCACCCAAGTGATCAGCACAACTCTTCGACCTGACCAAGGTTCAGTTTCGTGGTATTTAGACCAAGCGTCAAAGATAAGCGGATCGTCCTCAATTTCGTGAACCGCTCCAACCAGCTCTTTAGAATTGAAGACTCGAACATCGTCCCCAGGGCCCTCTATCCACAAGCCCCCCTCCTTAAAATCACTCAAGCGAAAAACTGCATTAGGCCACTGCGCGTTGCGGCCGTCACGATGCAAAGGCGTGAGACTGTCTGCAAAAATGCCACATGTGGAGAAAACATGACCTGGAAGACGCTCCTGCACAAAGCGGGTCATGACACGACTTGCGTACGGAAACTCTGCACACTCCTTACGCAACCCACGGAATCCACCTTGGGAATAACAGCCGGTTACGAAGGACTGTTTCACGTCCCTCTGACCCTTCTGAAGATTTCCCTGAGGGAGCATATCAAACAAGGTCAAGAGATCAGCACTCGAGATTTGGCCCGGTTTACTCAAACGGGCCTTGGACCACCCCTCAGCATCAGGGACCAGCAGGTCCCCAGTTTGCAATGCGCCCCCGTCGCTCCCTCCACTGATGGGCGCACTCAATGGAAGGGACCTTCAGGCACCAGCCTTCGGACAGCTGGTGTATGGATGATTTCCGAAGCAACCCTTTTTCCAACACTTGTGGTAGCCCTTTATGCACCGGCCCTGCTTACAGGTATTCTTGCAACCGTGCGTGTTATAAGCGAAACACAAAGGCTTGTTGGCATCATCTTTGGTCACACAACCCTCCGGCAAATCTAACTTTGAACCTGTCGCGACCTTTCCCTTGTTCCCCTTGTCCTTTCCCTTCTTGCCTTTGCCATCTCCCTTGGGAGGGGTCCAAGGTACATGCGGGATTACAGGGTTCTGCAAGGGTGCCAAATACTGCATGATGTCAGGGCTCCTAGACAGTCTACTGATCTCCGCGTCCAAAGCAGGGGCCGCCCCTGGCGAGGCCGTTAAACGTCCCATGAGGTTGTTGCTTGCAAGAATAAACATCTGCTTATCTGCCTCAATGATTTGCGAAAGCATGACACCCTGAAAGCCCTTCGGCTGCGCTCTCTGAAGAACCGAAAACAAGAATTGAACATGTTCCTCCATGACCCTGAAGCTTGCAAGGTTCGCCAAATCGAAGGCTAAGGAGCGGCGGCTCCAAGCCTGGCGCAACCTCATCTCTGATGAAACGTCACATGTCTGATCTGCAGATTTCGTTGCAATCTTCAGGTTGTTGTCGGCATCAATGTTTATGCTGCTGTCCCTCTTCAAGCACTGTGCTTCCTGCGCCCTACTAATCCACTTGCTGGGAGCGTGATACTGCAACACACCTGTTTCAAGCATTTCCACGCACAGGTCTACACACGAGTTGGCTGGCCGGGTTTCAGGAGTAAAAACCAAACCTCCCAGAGACCTCTCCTGCCTAGCCTGCCTATCCAAGCGTTCCGCCGCTGCCAACTTCTTAGGATGTCCTTCCACGCCGGGCTCGATGCGGGTACGAACTTCTTCAATCGCCATGCTCACTCCTTCGAAAAGGAGCCGACGGAGGCTGGCTTTCTGAAAACCAGACGGTCTCATGCCCAATCCATCAATCCAGTTGTCCACTGCCTCGTCGGTGAGGGTCGTTGGCGTAGCCGACACCGCAAAGGCCAGGCGGCCAAAGGTGTTGAAGCTGTTGTTCAAGAGTCCTGTAAGGGTTTCCTCGGACAGTCCGATCTTCCTAGCGCGGTCCAAGAAAGCTGCTTCCGAATCAAGGTTCGCAGAAGCCATGACACACCCAGATTCCGCGATCTCACGAACAAAGAACTGACAGCTGTCCCCCCTTGCACTAGATAATCCCCTCATCAGAACTTCAATGACGCATGAACATGTTTCTCTAGTGCGTTCAAGCAATACTGCCTCGAAGCTGGAGCCAGATGCCATTGGACTTGCAATCGAGCTCTCACCCAGCTCCCCTCTCTCTGGCACCGCTTCCAGGTGCCATGGGCAGTAGCATCTGCATGACAAGTACGCATATTGCACCGCTCCCAGGCGCCAAGGCAGTAGCATCTGCATGACAAGTACGCATATTCTTCCGAATCCCCTCTCTCTGGCACCGCTCCCAGGCGCCAGGGGCAGTAGCATCTGCATGACAAGTACGCATATTCATCCCCTCTCTCTGGCACCGCTCCCAGGCGCCAGGGGCAGTAGCATCTGCATAACAAGTACGCATATTCTTCCGAATCCCCTCTCTCTGGCACCGCTCCCAGGCGCCAAGGGAATAGCATCTGCAGAAACAAGTGCGCATGTCCTCTGCCTCACTCGTTCATGGCTCTCGTACATTGCATGCATACATCGGGATCTTCAGTCCCAACTCCAGAATATCTGGAGTATCTCGAAGTGCACAAACGACCACAGTAGAAGAAGCTTGCATCCCGAAGGCAATGCGCAATGCCTGATATACTATGAATCCGGCACTGAGAAACATGACATTAGCAAACGGCACTCTCACTGCAGGTTGGCCTGGAAGCTCAAAGGGCCCGTCGGCCTCAGCATCATCTGCCGAGTCCTCCGACTCGCCCTCAAACCCAGCCAACTGCTCTGCGGCCGCCTCATCCCGCGCTCCTGTGCCCAGGCCTTGACCTTCCTCAGCCGCGGCCAAGGCGTCAGCAACTTGTAGCACTCTGTCTGCAGGCGCGAGATCTGGCTGAAAAGCTCCGCTTCGGATCGAGCGGTAAAGAGCTAAAAGCTTGCCGATCAAACTCGTATAAGCCTCGCGGCTATAAGTCACCATACTTTTGACCCCCGGTACAATATGGTGACCCAACAGGAGACGTTCTCCTTTGCTCAGGCGCACCACTGTTGATCGAGAAGCCCACGTAAGCAGGGTGACTTTCAAAGAATGTGTTCCCAGAACTTGTCCCTCCAATTCAGAGCCTTCCAAAATCTCCGCTAAGTAGGAAGACGCCTCACCAGCTCCCATAGGCGTTGAGCCCCACTCATCCAGTCGCTGAGACCTTGTAGGAAGGCAAAAGCCATCCGGTCCAGCACCGAACGTGAGCCTACACTGGCGTCTGACTTCAATCCACAAGCGCGCCCAAGAGCATTCAGTAAGCCCCTGCGCCAGCGCCGCGTATGGTGTAAATTTTGTCTTGGCCTCCTTGCTCAAAGACGTCTTGCTTCCCAGAGCATCCCCAAACAGAATCTGGCTCTCTCCCGTGCCCAGCAGCTCCAAAAGTTTTAGTTTCTGGGAATCCTTCCAGCGACAAACGGCATGCACGCAAAATAAAATCTGTCCCAAGATACATTGACCAACCGGGCCAGCTCTCACCATTGCTTCTTCAAGTCGCCGCACCTGGAAGCATGTCAGCGGGTCACGCTGCTCCAACGGCGCCTTTGACATAAAGACATAAAGCATGAATGAGCAACACCCTTGCATCTAGCAGAGATCACCAGCTCCAAATCCAAATGCAAAAATCTTGCAATGGCATGAAGAAAATGTAAACTCTCCAACATGTGAGCTGGTGATGTTGCCCCACAACCTTCCTCACGCAATGTGGTCAAAGCAGAATACAAGTCTGCCTCCTCCATGCGCCACGGAGAAGCCACCCCTTGCTTATAAAGTTGAACCACCAGCCTCTGCAAAGAGCCAGCCCTTTTGGTGAGCGTACCAGCCGATTTTGAACTGAAAGCATCGCTAAAACTCGCTGCAATGATCTCCTCCGTCTCAAGAGCACCCGTTTTCTGCACTAAGCTTTTACCCAGAGCCGTAGCCAAAGGGTCCAGGAGCACCACAGCTTTAAGCTTCTTCAGAGCATGATTTCTCTCATCTTCATCTGACCTCTGAATGCGCACTCCCTTCAGTCGTCGCTCAATGGTCCAAGGCACATGGGCTGCCTCTTCCCCTCCGTAGCTCTCTTCCGGCTTCGGAAAGTTTAAAGTCTCTCGCACACCAACCGATGGAAGGAAAGCAGCACTCGCCCAAGCATGAAGTGAAGAGCTACCCGACTTCCGGTTAAAGGCCGGATGGCTCTCCCACGCCTGCCTTGGTCGTTCCAGCCTTAGCCTCTTGAAGGAGCTGTGAGCAGCCAATCTGGAGAACGAGAAATCAGAGACCTCATGCAAGGGATCCTCGCTCTCTCTGCCGATTTGCAAGCAATCACCGTCCAGTCCAGGCGAAAACTCACTGGGAGCGATACTATGATCCTCGTCCCTGATCCCTCTGTACCACTCACCCTCATCAACAGCCGAATCTTCAGGAAGAAAATTTAAATCTTCAGACTCCGGGATGTTGTCGTCCGCCTCGCTAGGCAGAGGCCGCTCATCAATCAAGTGCCACATGGACACGCGGCTTTCAGAAGACACGGACTCTCCCACCGGCAAATGGCAGCCCGACGGTTCCGCCGCCTCTCTCCCCTGATGAATCGGCCCGGCGGGCTCTGTCGGAACACCTGCGCCCTGTGCAGAAAGGTCACTCATATCAAGGTTGGGCACAGAAGAAGCTAAAACGGATTTGCCAGCTTACGCGAAGCAGTTGCAGGCGCTCGACAGAGAGAAGGCAGGCCCAAATCAAGCTGGCAACGTCTCTCAGCTGAGCTGTTCTGGCCAAAGCGGCCTGCATGGCTGGGCCCACCTCTATCGAAAGCACTGGAGTAGGGGCTCGGAACCTGCTAGACAGATGTAAGCCCCCAGTCTTTTTTTTTCTTCTTTCAAGCGATCTGGTCAGTAGCAGCGCAGCCATAGAACAATTCTCAACAAGTCCATGCTTCGCACATGAAAAATTTTCTTCAATACTAAACAAATTCTTCAAAGAGAGCATGTATAAAATCATGCATCATGAGCTCTAGAAAACCCGCACTCTCCCCGTGCTGACCACCCCCCAAAAGAAAGACTAGTCGGCACGCCGAAGACGCCCGACATTGATCAAAGGCGACTTCGCGCCTCATGAGTGCCCACTGCAAGCGAAGTTCAGTGCTAGTATCAGCTTTGGCAGGCTCATGCGGCACAACAACAAGAGACTGTTTCTCAAGCGATATAGCCGATTTGGCTTCGACCTTCGAAACAGACTGAATCTCAGCATCACGCTTAGAGCACTTGCTGGGTGATATCCAAGTCATGACTGAAGTTTCATAGATTGTGTTCGCCATGTCGCACAGTGCATGGCTGGGGCACAACTCACCAGTCAGATCCAAACCCCTCAGACGCCTTTGTTGAGCTGACAACCGGGCCCGGCGCTCAGCCGGAGGAATGCGCTTGATGCTCTGTGCTCCCTCAGGGCCCTCGGTCCCTGTGACATGCTCCTTAAGTACCGCGACAACAAAAGCAGTGGCTTCGAAGTGCAAAGTGCGAAGATCTGCAACCTGAGACAGCGACGGCGCACCAACAAACACTTCTGAAGCAAAACCCTGAAAATCAGCTTCACTCGGTGCAGTCTGCGGAGTGCCGATGGCGAAGGCGAGTTTGCGGAAAGATTTGATGTTCTTTGCCTCAAGAAGGGTCCGGAGACCAGGCGCGATTTCATCGCACCGCTGGAAAAAGGCAGCTTCAGACTCGACCAGCGACATGATGCGGGTATATCGCTTCACTCTACTCGAGCCCAGGAGCTGAGAATCCAGCGCTCGCTCGAGCATTCTTGCAGTCGCTATCCGTGCACTCCAGGTCCATCAATTCTTTTCCAAGCAGCCCGCCCAATACGCCTGTGCGCGACATTGGCAGCGCCAGAAGACTCGAACCGGTGGCAGCCGCACTCCCAAGGTCCGGATCCCGACGTAGGGCCCACCCTCGGGCCCAGCAGCTCTGCCAAGAAAAACTCACCACAGCTTGCGTTTGGCCTGCACTCCCGCTAAAGTGAATCCATACGCAAGCTCCAGGCAATCACAAGAAAATCGGCACGACTTGCTAAAGGGCCCACGCCTCTGCTGAGGCGACTCCCCTTGCACGCCCTCTGCCTTGGACACAGAAGCCCCAGGCCTGTGATGTGTGAGACATCAGATCCGCAGGGCAACTCCTGTCCATCGCATCAATCACCTCCTGTGCGAGCCTCCTCTCCAGTGGTCCTTCGACACTGAGAGCAGACCGAGGTGTCGAAACGTACAGTCGTGGGCCTGATGTGCAAAGGTCCGACCATACGACCACATTCCAGCACTCGTTCGTTGCCCTCCTTAATGAGATGCAACATGCGAGTCTTTTTATGCTGGAGAAAACGATAACCTTCAGGAGCACATGGAACTGTCAGCTTACGAACTTGAGGCACTTCCAAATCAGAAGATTCGCTACCGGAGCTGTCTGTGGTGACATGTTCGGAATCCGCAGCTCGCTCGGTAGCAGCTGCCTCCTGTTCGTCTTCTGATCCCAAGATTTCAACAGTTCCATCCCCGAGATCGCCGGTGAGCTCAGCCTTGACAGCCTCTGGCCCAACGCTAGCGCGAGAATCCCCCGTCTCAGGCCGATTCTCTCCTGCGAGAGGTGCATGCTCCAGAATCTCACGTGCTGGACCCCTGAGACGCCCAGACCGCGTGCTGTCAGGGAGGTAAAAACCACTCCTGATTTCCTCAAGCATTACTTCTAGCAGTCGCAAGCTCCTTGCAGCACCATCCCGAGAGTACACAAGTGCCATGCGACCCGGCACTGAATGGTACCCCATCTGGAGCCTGTCCTCAATCGAATATCCACGCTTAGCAGCCATAGAAAGAAGCGTCGCCTTGAAAGAGTGGCTTGTGATCTTGTTGGGGCAGCCTTCAGCAGGTTCACAATCCAGGAGGCGACGAACCCACTTCCCAGCCTCCGAAGATGAAAGCGGTCTGCTGAGAGGTTTTCCCTCTTGATCCGGAGCAGGCATTAGACAGTGACCTGGCGGATTGTCTATGCCCAGCTGCTTCCGGACTCGCATCCAAGTGGAGACCCATTCTTTGTCAGCGACGCCCAAGGCAATGGATACCATTGGTAAAAACTGGAATCGGTGCTGAGATGAATGCATCGTCTTATGACTCGCCACTGTGATTTCCAGGTATGCGATGTTACCTAGGGTGTCATAATCCAGGGCCCACCTGCACACATGCTGTGCGTCGCCCCACCTACTGCGGGCGTAGGCCACACAAAGTGTGGCACCACAGAACAATCTGTTCCACGGGTCCTCGTCTTCGCTGTCAAGCCTCCTGTGGAGCTCCAACAGCTGCTGGACCGTAAGCGGTTGGGCCTGCTTCCTGTCCCTGGGCTCATCCGTTTTAGTGGCGCCCAAACAACGACGGCTAGCAGTAGCAAGCTCAAGCCCTGCCACACCCAGCACGAACCTAGAAAAGACAATGGCTTCGTGAAAGCCTTTCAGCCTGGATGCAGGAGCTCCCAGGGCCCTTTCCGCTCGAAGGAATTCGTAGAAAAGTTTCTCACTGATAAGATAGGCCGGCGCGCCTTTATCCTGCAACCAATTGGCAACTTTCGCCAAAGCTCGGGCCCTCTTGAGCAGCGTCGATGGTGCACGACCCCGGAAGAAGTCTTCCAGCAGTCCAATCTGCCCTTGCACGGATTCCTCCTCACAGAGCATCTGCCTCACCTCGCAGTCGACATCCCAACGAAGAATCGTGTGGAGCCACAGCTTAACAGATCTGTCGAAATCAAGAGTCCTCTGCTCTTCCCAAGAGACATCCAAAGACTGCGACACGACAGCCATGTAGACTCTGTCTTGCCGAGGCTTCGAAGAAAGTGAAAACAAACTCGAAGAAGCAGGCACTAAGGACTCCTCTGATTGGCCACTAGTCGGCTGCACAGGTCTGTTGAAAACAGGAGTCACCTGCTGCAACCAGTCACCGGAAGCAGCAGCACCAAACAGCGCACTCCAGACTCCTGATTCCCATGGAAGTGACAGTGTAGCCTTCGCCGGAACCGCATGAAAAGCAGCCGACAGAGCAGTCTGATACCCTTCAGCAGTGACCCGAGGCGAGGCTGCAGGTACTGAAGGATGCTGTTCAACAAGACTCCACTGGGATTGCTTATTATGGCTCTCAACATCGGATGACGGGAAGTCCTCGGCAACTTTCTGGTACCATTGCACCTCAGCACTGGCATCGTCCTCAGAAGCAGCAGCCTCAACTCCAAGTTGAGAAGCATCTTCAGACACTGCCTGGAAGTCTCCGCCCGAGTCCAGCAGGAGCCAAGGGTCGAGAGTCCGCCTTTCAGCCGCATCACAATCCTGATTGGCATGACTAAGCTGATCACCGAAGTCTCCCCCATCAATCTGAAGATCAGCGGAAAGCTCGTGCTCCAAGGCAGCTAGGTCGGCATCCTCCAACACGGAGGGGTCCATGGTCGGGCAGGCAGACAAAAGAATGTCAGCAGTGGCGCTGATACAAGTGCACATAAGCCAAAGCAGAGCGTAAGGGCTTGTGGACGACCTTCACTGCACGAAGCATGAGCCTTGCAAGATGACAGAGTCCTGCAATTTCACGATGCACAGCAGACGTCTCAGGTGCGCGTGACACAGCCCTATGGTGAGCAGTATGGCTGAAAATTGCGGAAACTCAGCTGGTAGAATCGATCCCTAAGAGGCGCTCAAGCGCGCCAACACGGCGCATGAGGCTTGTATGGAACCGAGGTCCCACAATGTGGCCGGTCGCATCCTCTAACATGTCGATTCTGCCACCAAGTGCCACACACGTGGACTCGAGGCTACGAAATCGTTTGGAAACTGCAAGAGCATCATCAGAAAAAGGAGCCTCATGAGACAAAACAGGCTCCAAGGGCATGAAAGCAAAAGCTCTGGTGGATGCATCAGCGCTGAATGGCCCACAGAGGGCACGCCGTTGGTTGGGAGTCAAAGAATTGAAGACCTCCAACCACGGGCGCTCAACGCCTAAGTCGCCACTTGAGCTCCCGACGATGGAAATGTCCTCACAGGAGTCAGAGCGCTCCCACACCAAGCTAGTAGCCAACTCTGCGTACGGTTCCTGACAGCCCATCATATCGCAGTCAAAGCGTGCTTGAGCATTGTGGTCAACAAGAGACTTGGTGCGATCAGCCTGAGGATGCAAAGCGGTATGCTTCCAGAGATTGGCCCGAGTCAACGGACAAGAAGAAGCAGCCACAGTAGCCCCACCGAGATCAGCAGAGGCGGTGGCCATTCTGGTGTCGCAGGCACGAAGTGGCTTAGTTACTGCAAAAAGGGCTCGAGAAAAAGAGCCAGAATATAAAGTTTTGCAAAGTCGGCATAAAGAGATCTGCAAAATTGGCCCTTCAATTTTAAGAAGTCACAGCATTCTCAAGTCGACGTCCAAAGTCTGTGAGGCTTGACACTTTAATTGCCTGGCGACAGGGCAGAGCCGAATTATCGGTCTAGTCCTGCAAAGCAATTCCGAAGCGACCTAACCAGCTCAGTGATACGGAGCTCCAAACTCGAGACTCGATCGGCAAGCCCGAAAAAGGCTCGAGAGATCCCTGTGATCTCGCGTTGAAGAGTTTCTCTGGGCACAGGATCATCTGCAATCAGTCGTTGTTCCAGAACAGTCACACGCTGCTCTAACTCCCACACATGGTCAGAGAGCAGCAAGAAAGTATCATCAGTGCTAGCTCGCTCTGAAGACCCAGCAGAAAGTGCTTGAGGCAGACGACGTAGATCAGCCCCACCGTCAGAGGAACTCTCAGGGGCAGACGTGTCCATTTCCTAAGAATTGAACGAACCTGCGTCTACGGCTCCAAAACAAGCTGCTTAGCCGGGGCAGATGCATGCACTGCTCAGGAAGTGAGCTCCGAGGCTGAACAAAACTCACGCTCTGGTGCAATACGGAGGCTGAGAAAAAGTCGCACTCAACAAAGCATGCGCACAGAAAGCCCTCACAGAAAGAATGCACCGTGTTTTTGAGCTGACAGCATGTAAGAGTCTTGGCACAGCGGGGCATCGCCTGCTGAACATAAGCATGCAAAACCTGCGCAGAAGCCTGCCACTGAATCTTCATACAGGCCGCCACACTACTCGCTGCCAAAAATTAACATGAAGTCTCGGACAATGCAAACTTTCGAAGCAAGAGCATGAAGCGTCAGGGCCGGCCGACAGCAAGCTGACTAACAGCCTGCGAAACTTCAGCAAAAGCATACTCCACCTCAGAGGCGCGTTCATCCGCAGACTCGAACCGCTGTGCAACAGCGGCCTTGAACTCGCAAAGGCTGGCCTGCAATTGCGTCATTTGGAAAGCAAGGCCGCAAATCTCATCAGCGATCTGGGAGATACGGCGGCTGAGGTCTGCCTCCATGTTCTGCAAGTCGCCTAAAGTTGGCGCAGGAGCCGGGCTAGCAGGGGGCAGCTCCGTACCCTCAGGTTCGACGACCACCTCCTCATAAGAAGATTCTTCCTCCAGGTCACGCGTGCTGGAGATCTCCAAGTCAGCACTAGCCGAGGAATGCATGACCGAGGCGACCGCACGGAACACAGAACCGACGCCTTTCTCGTTCCCCGCAGGTACTTGATACTCAGCTTGGTTCCCCCTACAGCCCAAAAACTTCCACCAGCGACGAGCCAGTGCTTCAGCGGCTCACAAATCAGAGGCAACTGCAAGCACGACTCTTACACATGTACTGTAAAATAAACGACATGTGAGAAAAGCGTAAAATAGGAAAAGAGAAACTTTCGCAAGCACTATTTCAA